CGGGGGTGCAAACGTTAAAGGGAACAGCCCTCGCATAATACCATGCGGGGGTGCAAACGTTAAAGGGAACAGCCGTCAACTGGCAGAGTCAGCAAGCTAAAGTCACGAGCCGGTCACATGACGTGCAGACAACACCCACGCTGTCAAAGCAGGCGAGATTGCGAGCATATTGGAATGAACACAGCAGACTAGCCGTTACCGACTGCAACCTTCGGAGCAGCAGCAGCAGCGGCAGCGACAGCAGCGGCGTGAACGACGAGGCAAATGTAACACGAGCGACGCTCTCACTAGCAGACGATTCCGCAACGTTTCACCGTGGATCTGTATCACGAGCCGTCGTGCCGCCATTGCGAAACGACGTTGTCGTCACGTAAAGTCGATGCTTCTAGTTTAAATTAAGTTCGTTTGGCTAGCAGCACTTCGACACTCGCCGCTGATGATGAAACAGAGCGTTGCTTCGCTTAGCTGAAAGTTTTTGCTGAATGCGTCGCGCTGTTTCTCTCGTTTCTCGCACGGAAATGGCTTCAAATGAGAGGGAAAAAATTTCAAAGCTAATTTGCGCCTCAAACACATTAACACAATCAGCTGAAACAAGCGCACACCGACAAGCTAGCACTATAGAGTGCTGATCCAGGTATTTGTCCGTGTGGATCTGAAGAGAGGGAGAGACAGAAGAGAGATAATAGCATGAGACGAGAAAGAGGAGAGAGAGCAGGTAGAGAATAGACGAGGGAGCGAGCGCAGAGATCGAGAGAGAGAGAAGGCATGAGATGAATTGAGAGCGCCAGAAACGAGAGAGAGAAGAAGGAGAAGAGAGAGAGGAGGAGAGGAGAGAGAGAGAGGAAAAGACGAAGAGAGGAGAGCCGAGAGATGAAAGAGGGGCAGGAAGGGGGAGAGGCGAGAGGCGAGTAGGGATAAGGATGAGAGAGTCGAGAGATGAGAAAAGATAATTAAACAAAGATTTGGAGAAGGAGACGAGAGAGCTGAGAGAGTGCTAGGGAGAAGACGAGGAGGCAGAGGGAGAGGGAGAGAGAGAGGAATAGGGGAGGTACAGAGCACGCAGAGCGACAGAGAAAAGAAATGAAGAGAGGAGGCAAGGAGGCAGGGGAGAGGGAAAGGCGAGAAGAAGGAGAAGGAGAAGCGAGAGGCAGAGGGGCGTGAGAAAGAGGAGATTGAGATGAGCGAGAGCATGAAAAGACGTTGAGACGAGAGAGAGAGAGAGACATGAAGAAAGGGACAGGGACAGGGGGAGGAAGAGAGAGAGAGCGAGAGAGAAAGAGAGAGAGAGGGTCTTCATATTTCAGTGCTGCTTTAAGAGCTGCTGCTAGTTCAGACATGGGGCTTTCCTAAAATTTACAATGCAGTATGCGCCTAACATTTTATACGGTCCGTTAGATCTGACGTTATGTTGGAATATTACCGTAGGATGAGAAGTATTTGATTTAAGCAGTCTAGCACTTAAAACACAATTTATATTACTAAAGGGGTTTTACTCGCCATATAGTGCAAGGATTAAATAAAGACGCTTTAATAATTCAATTTGACAGCCACGTTAATCATTACCCAGGGAGCTTGATGAAATATTACCATCTTAATCAGACTCAAGTCTGAAGGGCAGCAAACGATCACGAGGCTTCATGCTTCACAGCTCTGCACGGTGGGAAGCTCACCACCATTCTCGTAGCGACAAGCTTACTCTCTGCTTTGCCCAAGCTTACTGCTAAGCCATCTGCTAACATAGACATTACCAAGAGCTAATAATACCTAATAGTTATAGCTAACAGCTATATATTACTTCCATCAGTTCTGCGCAACACGAACACCACACTGATCTCTGAAACAGGCCCTATACTGCTGCAGGGGGGTGGCGGGGGTGCAGCGACTACTACACACCGAAAATGCAGAATTTGGTACACTACATGTGGAATTTCCCTATTCTTTTGTCATCTCTCTTAATGGTGTTTCCTAACCAACACACATCCCTCCCTCTCCCCAACACTGTCGCTCCAATTGCGTGCAGTGCCGACTATGATGCACGGCGTAGCGTGTTTCCCATGCAGCGCGAGCCGTGCACGTCCGTCCACACACCTGCGTCGCTCGTGCGATCGCATGCAGCCGACGCACGATAAATAAACACCGAATGCCTGAGCGAAAACGTGAACCGATTACAACGCAACGTAGGTCCAATAAACCGTGATGTGGCGTCGCTGGTGTGGGGGTGCTGGGTGCGCATTCGCCATCCGGCTCCGTCACGGAAATCGCGGTGTGTTCGTGTCATGACTACTGCCAGGGGGCGCTGATGGCGTGCGACGTCTGCCAGGGGGCGCCCGCAGCGCTCAACGTCAACCAGGGGGCGCCTGCAGCAAGCGGTGGCGACAGAACAGTCGTCTGGGTCGTCGTCGCCACGCTGACGTTCGCCATTGCGCGGCTCCCGGCGAGTTTGCAATCACACGATGCCCGCTAGGGGGCGCTGGCGCCGTCGAGCGCGTTCGTCGACAGCTTGTCGAGAACGTCGCGGTCGAGGTCCTCGTCGTCGAAGATGTCGAGCGAGTGCGCCGTCGTATCGTCGCGCCGCCGCGTGGCGTACAGCTCACCGACGTACTGCCACGTGCGCTTGTGCTGCCTCACCTGCCGCTCGACCTCCGCCGAGCGCGGGAAGAGCTT